CCAGTGGAGAGGGCACAGGGTGACCCAGGTCCTACCACAGATAAGGATGCTAGAAACAAACAGTTTTTCTTTGCCATTTCCCAGGTCTCAGTCATTGACTCTGGAAATTTGGAAACACCAAGTATTACTCTGACTGAGAATGCTCATTGTCCCTACCTGTGAAGACATGAGTATATCAGGAAGCATGTACTCAATGCTCCAACCTGGGGTGAAAAGCACTGATGTCTTCCCAGATTCCCTGTAAGCATCGTCAGATGCAGACAAGCTCGTTCCTCCCAGGGTCTGCTCTAAACAGTTTTGCAGCTATGGATACTTTCTTTTTCAGGGTGTATATCTAATTATCAATATTGGTTTAAAAACACTGTCATCCAATGCTTAGAAACCATTCTCCGTGGGTTTCTCATATGTCTGCAGTCTTGCGACCTAGGCTTTAATAACCTTTGTTCTAGACTATCTTCCTAAGGACATGTGCATAGCAAACAGCCTTGGAAGACAGAGATAGGCTCTCTCTGGAGCAAATGACTGGTTGGTTTATTGTCCACTGTGATCAATATTCTAACTCCCTCTGGAATTAGAAGCATGGGAAACATGTTCTGCCCACTATAAAATATTTGGGGTCCTTAAGTTCAGGGTGTGTGCAGACTTGGGTCACATTTACTTGTGGGAACTCAGATTTGGGGACATGATATAATTGTTCGTATTCCAACTGATAGTATTGCTATGAGGAATAAGGTCATTTTCCTCTGACTCCTGAGTTTTCTACCTGTGTCAACATTCATCAAACCGTGGCAGGCTAAGTCACTAGCTTACAAATAGAGTAAAGTCTCAGATTCTTCAGTTTTTGATGCCTAATTGCTGCCTATGAAATTATCACGTTGGTCACATAATACCCTTCTTCCACAGCCTCCCCAGAGGCCATTCCATGCCCTGTATTTACTTAAGTATATTTAAGTTATAGTCATACTTTTTCTACTCCAAAAGGACTCAGGCTATTATTTTAAAATATGGTACAAGAAAACACATTATAGGCAACTGCCTTTCTCTATGGAAAGAAAAAGGGAAAGTTTTGCTTTCTTCTATTTTTAGAGACTGACAAATAGCAAGGTATAAAAATGCAATGATTTTAAAAGTCTCTTAAAAAAAGGTCCACAGCAGGTGTAGTAGGCAAGGCCTTGGCAAACGTCTAGTTGGGGAGAGATCCTGAGAGATTTTGTCTAATTGACAGTTAGGTGAGGGATGGGGAGGTGGGGCAGCTCCAATCCCAGAACCACAAGGAATCTAGTTTCCTGCCAATTCATGACACAATGGACCAGGGGTGTCCAAAAGCTTTATGCAAGGGAACCAGCATGCATTAGGCTGGTGATTGACGATACTCCACTGCTACTGTGCCAGCTGGAAATAGGGTACCAGATGTTTCCGATTTCTGCCAGGTGGATTAGGTAACCTAGAAGATGTCTGCACCTGAAGGAGACCCAAAAGGTGACAGAGGTGCTCAATGACCAGTGACAGTCACCATGCTGATGAATGATGCCCACATGAAACATGATTATTCATTTAAATGAACTGAACATTTGAGGATATAACTATATGCCAGTAACTTATTTCCTGCCTTAAGAATGAGGAGGCTAGAGAAGTGCCCTATTTACCAGTACTATAAATGCTTGGATATGTGAGAGAAATTATCAGTATACCATATCAACAATCTCTGTAAATGGTTCCAGGGGAATTCTGGTGTGTAGGCCATCAACATCTCTGCAATCTTTTCTATCTCCAGGGCCAAACAAAGAGGTGTTTGAATATACCCACGAATCCAATTAGGTAGAAAAATAATCAGTATTAAACAGGTTTTTCCTTGACCTAAAATTAACATCGTGTGGTAAAATTTTTAAATGTCTCCCTAAAGCTTTATTTTCTGTGTGCAATACGGAGAATACTGAGCCAAAATCCAGAAAAGGAATCTAGCCATTAGTGTGCTTTCATGGCTACATTAGTGGGTGAAAGCCACTTGTTACCTCTTGACAGCAGTTTCCTTTTACTGGGAAAGGTCATTTATCTCCATCTAACCTCAGAAAGGCCTCAGTGTATGAGCCAGGGAGCATGGAAGGGTCATGGTTCTAGATTCCAGGAAAGGCAGTTCAGCGCTGGGACACCATCACCATCTGATTTTCAGACTGCTAGGTTATTCCACCTTGTTTCCATGAAACAAAGTCTCTGATGCCTATTGGGATAATAGGTTACCTTGTTTTAGTGACTTCCCTGGTCAGTACACAGATTAGTATTTTTAGTCCTCAGGCAGCTTTCTTAAGAGTCATGTCGAAGAATTCCATCCCAACAGGAACACTCTATCTTTTTCTCTGATTAGCGAGAATAGCTAATTTATTTCCAGGGTCACCTACAAGTTCCTTGAAATAATAGAAAATACACTTTTTAGAGAGAGAGAGTGAGATTCTGATATATCCCACTAGAGCTCAGTGGAAATAAGGGAAGCATAATTTAAGCAATGGAAGGCAAGAGAGGACCTTCCATGTTTGCCTAAATTTGGGTTTGATTGTCTCCATTAATTACAGCACAGTGCAAATGAGAACACATGTATATGTTTGTTCCTTACTTGGGGCTGGTAGTTTCTCACAGAGGAAAAACATTCAGACCATCACCACTAAGTCTAGGCAGGATTGGGACACAAACATCTGCTGTGAGCCACAAGAGGGCCAGATGGAAAAATAATTCAAGCACACATTGACTTGATGGTGGGGGTAGTGCCATAATTTATACAAAAATTACAGCAGATTTAGCTGGGATGGTTTTTGGCTAAAAAATCTCACTAGATGGCACGTAAGGCCATTGTTTTTCTTTCCTTTTTTTTTTTTTTAAACCATCATCCTCCCCTCTTTTTAAGACTATTTTATAAGAGAAAAGGTAAAGAAGTATTGAATGTTTTCATATCTTCTGCTGTTAAAAGTTGTCTAGAATCCAGTTTTAATAGAAGAACCCATAGAGTGAGCTGTAGTCTTAAGGTATATAATTCAAGAGCAAATACTCATTTTTTGTTGGGGGTGGGTAAATATGTAATTCTAAAATGTAGGTCTCAATTTTTGTAGGTACCAGGGAGGGGGTAAGCAAGGGGCTGGTGAGCATTAACGAAAACACCACCATAGGCTCTGTGGTACAGGATGCCTGCTCAATGGCTGGGGTGGAAGTCAAAAAATATTGGGGTCTACTTGGGGGGCAGTGCCAACAAGACCTGGAGCAAATCTTCCCCATCTGTTTGAACCTCACTAAAATATGGCGAAGAGCACCTCCCTTACTAACTCAATTTGCCAACAAGGTATTAAACAGTAGCATTTGGGAGGAAGGGCCCAGAAATGTGAAGTGGATTATTATCCTGATTCCACAAGGAAAAAGAATGAAAACGAGGGTCAACCCTGGCATGTTTGAACCATCTAATGCCAGGTGTTTTGTGCAGAACATCTGGATGTGTGATTATATTTTTTTTCTTCCTCTAGCTGTTAGGATAATGTAAACATTAGGGATAAGCAAAAAATTACTTTGAATATTTGATATTCAAAATATTTGATATTCAAATATAATAAAATATTTCTCTTTTTGCCACAAACATCAAGTACATTTTACAACTTGGGGACAGGAAATTTTTATAGATCTTGACAACTCTGTCTTAGTTCTGTATTTTGCAGTTTAGACAACCATTCTGTAAAGTGCAGGAGGTACAACTCCAAGAGTTAAAAATCCCAATATTAAGTGCTGAACCACAACTTTGCAGGGGAATATTTTTCATATTGCCTCTGGAAATACCACAATTTAGATCAAGCAGTGATATCAGGCCTGGTTTGGAAAGCACAGGGAAGTAGTTAAAGAGCAGTCTGTTTTCCTGATTCTCAGAGTCTCAATATTTTAAGACCGACATTACTCATCTGTGACTGAGCCATCTGCCTGGGACAATCTTCCACGGCTCAGGGACCAGGAGTAAAACTGGATGTGATGGAAAGCTGTGGTGGAGCCAGCCTGCCCCTGCAGAATGAGCCCCGAGGCTCTCCTGAGGCTAGGAGAGCCAGCAAAGAATTGCACAGACAAGATTGTTCCGTTACATCCAGTTCTGCTGAGGTCATGGAGTCCTGCCTTGTTTAAATTAAACTTTACACCATATTTAGTCAACCTTCCGAGAGTTACAAGTTTTAGTGCCTCTGTTGTCTTCAGATGGCTAAATCTACATCAGGCTGCAAGTCATAACACTCGATTAAACAAACAGTGCTAGCTACAGGGTTAATCAACATGCATTGTTTGTTAAGCGCCTGTGCCCCAGAAGCATCCTGTCAGCTAATGTGAAAGAAAATGGACTCATAATTTGCAAGGAAAATAGCTGATGCTCCAAGGCTGCAAAAGTATAATATCATTGCTTTTCACCAAATAAAGATGACAGGGAATTTCTATAGGGAGGGCCTGTCTGTCTGCACACAAGCATCTACACCCACATCCACACCCACACCACGTGCCAGTACTCTTTAGCATTTTCAATTTTTTTCTTTTCAATATTAACTTCTGTTTTCACTAGGTCCAATTTTTCTTTGCTTTTTTTGATGGACTTTACTCTCCATCAGTTTAATTTAACCAGATGGACAATCCCTAGGATGAGAACATTCAAAAGTGGTCACTTTTTGGGGCAGTTCCAAAAAATAAATAATGTCCAAATTATAGAGTACTAAGTTAATAGCCTGTGACCAGATTAGGATTCCAAGTAGGTCTTATTTTCAATATTCCCCCCTCTTCAATGATAATGCATTGACAGTCTTTATAAATAATTATGCTTTAATATAAGTGTGTCTGAAGACATCTAACTTCTTAGTATCAGCACTGATTAATCACCCTGTAACAACCTTATTTGCCTCTAGGTTTGCAGGTAGAATAGTTACCACCCCCCAGAAGAAGCCAGTCTTATGTAATTAACCCATCAGCTGTTACTCTGCTCTGCCAGCACCAGCACTCACCTTGGGGATGCTGAGATGTTCCGGGGGAGGATGATGATACTCTGAGAGCCTCCTGGGAGTCTGGAGAAGACGGGCTATGGCTCAGAGGGGCAGAGGAGGCAGGGGCTGCTGGTGAGGTCAGGTCCAAGGAGAGGTCAGCTCTGCCCCGGCTCACACTCCGGCTTCTCAGTTCCTTCTCATGAGCCTCAGCTGCCAACTGCTCCAAGTATTTGTATCTGAAAGTTAAATTCCAAAGGGTTTCCGTAAAAAGAAAGAGGAGCCCGGTTTCCGTAAAAAGAAAGAGGAGCCCGTGGCCGGAGCTTGTTTATGGATGAAACACCTGCAGAGGGAGCTGGTTTCCTGATGTACAGAGCGCAGCACAGAGCTGGCTGGAGAGCCAGTCTGCCAAAAACACCCAGCAAAGCCAAGATGCTAATGATTAAGAATCCTGCATCATTCAGAACCAAACAAATTGGGTGAAATGGCAACATCACACAGTCTGCAGATACTGGGTCACTACTGCAGAATCCTATTTTGCTGTTTTAGGAAGCATTTGTACAAATAAGCAAAACAGCAATAATGGCCATCCAAAAGCCCCAGCAGTGACAGCTGAAAACCACACACCTTCAGAGCTCACAGCTGTGAAATGGGAGGGTTCAGCAGAGAGAAACAATGCCCCCCAAATACCAAAAGGGGTTGTTGGACGAGGCCTCTCTGAATTTCTGAACCTGCTTCAATGCGAACAGCAATGCGCCTGGAACTCACTTTGTTCTCTCGGTGTCGACCATGGAAACTTTTTTATATTCTAAAATATTTCTGAGTAGGACTCAGACATCCAATAGCTTGGACCTGACGTCACATATAGTTTATTCATCAAAGTCAGTTTAAAAGAACAAAGATACATCTGTTTTGCATTTCAGGCAGGCAGAAACCCACTAACTGTTTATTAAGACCAGCTACCAATCATATTCCTCATAGTGCGCTTTATAGATCAGACCAAAATAACTTTGAAATATGTGCCTCTTCCAGATGTCTGCTAATTTTACCCACCATTATTTGTTCAGAAATAAACTTATAAATACAGCTATAGCAGGTTTCTGTCTATGCTATCCACCACTAAACTTTGAAGCAGCTAATGCAAGACCCTCATTCCCATCCATCTGGAGTCATTGCTTCTGTCCCTCCAATGGGCAAGCCCCCAGCGGGCAAGCCCCCAATTTTGACACACCACAGCACCCCTCCAACTCCCCACTCCTAAATCACCCAGATAACAAAGGCAGAGCAGACATATAAAACCTTGAAAAAGAATGCATTTAAAAAACATGCATGTCTTCATTTATCCTTAAAGTGGGATGGCTCCCACATCTACCGTGGACACCCCTTCTCTCTGTCAGTCCATAGGCAGCTCGCCCTTCAGGCCAAGCTCTCTGCAGGCCTCCCTCTGTGGGGCCTACCTTGACCACCACAGCTGGAAGTGATCTTGGCCTTGCCTCTGAACTCATGTCGGATATGTAGTCCATTCAAGTCAGATGGCATTTTACATTTATTGCCTGGCATATTTAGTCATCTTTTCACATGTGGATGTCTGTTTTCAACAAGCAGATAATAGGATTTTTAAGAACAGGAAGATTACCAGTCTTTGTTCTTTTTCTTGGTGCCCTGCGAGAAACTTGCAAAAGCAGCACCCACCTTCAGAGCTGTACCTGCATCAGAGGCGGGCCAGAGCACCTGCTTCACTTTCTAGGGGGTGAACTTCCTCTCAAGGTGAAGCTTATGATAAAAAGTACTCTGAGGCTTAGCTCTGGGAGCAGCTGCCTTACTGTTTCAGGTGAAGTGACACCCAGAGAGGCGGCTTTAAAAAATCTGGAGTTCTCAAAAGGTAGGAGAGGTAACAAAAGAAAGATATTTCTGAACTTATGCAGACCAACAAGCAAGGGAAAGTGATCTTGGAAGAAAGTGATCTCGAGGGCAGAGTCAGAACCCAGGAAGAGGCGTGTTTTAAAGGAGGTGGTAGCAACAAGACCAGGAAGGCTATGAATCCAAGAGGAGATCATGGGTACAGGTGTCCCCTTCTTTTGGGGAGGCAAGAAGTTACATGCCCGGGTCCAGGCAATGGGAGTCTGGAGGGGGAAATGAGGCTCTACTGTATCAGAAGACTTCAGGGAGGGAGGGAGCCCAGCCTTGAAGGAACCCAGCCTCCTCAGGCCATGAGGAGACCTCATTTGCGACCTGCATTCTGGCTCCCTGCCCTGGTCCTGACCTCTCCATACCCCTCCCGGAAGCAGGCATGTGCTGGAAACTAAAGCCTTCACCCCTTTTTCTGGGGGACTCCTGGGGTTGCTCAAGCCAGAGTCTGGACAAATTTGACTCAAAGACTATTCCAGTGTGTCCCCTAAGTCCCAAAGATGTCCTCCTCCAGAATTGAGTCATGGAGAGAATCAAGGGTTTCAGCTGAAGCATCCTGAGCATGTTTTTGTGATAAACACAAAGGGTGGGGGAGGGGACACGGGCATTTGTTTGATGGGTAGAAAGCTTCAGTTCTACAGACAAAAAGATCTGGAGCTTGGTTGTGCAACAATGTGAATGAATGTAGCACTACCAAATTACATGTCAAATTAAAAATGGCCAAAATGGTAAATTTTCTGTTATGTGCCTCTTGCCACAATTAAAAAATGTTAACAAATAGTGGTGACATGCAGGCTTGAATGGCAAGAGTCATAATTAAAAAGGAACTGCATGGGCCTCCCCGGTGGCGCAGTGGGTTGAGTGTAGCGCTGGGAAGCTGTCCGCAGCCTCTGCAGCATGGGTTCAATTCCCGGCCAGCCAGGGAGAGTCCCACATGGCGTGGCAGACCTCTCCTATCTTGCCTGCTGCTCCCCTCAAGCAATGTATTTTGGTCCATCTGCCTGTTCTGCTCCCTGCTCTGTCTCTGGTGAATCCTCTCACCCTCCTGTGCCTCTGGCCTGTACCCCAGCTCTTGTATAAAAATAAATCTTAAAAAAAAAAAAAGGAAATGTAGTGTTTGTCTGCAGTGGGCTGGAGTGGTGAGGGTGGACTGTTGTGCTGGGAAGAGCCAGGTCATGTGGCATTTAGGGTTGTACAGCTCAGTGAGCTCTCCTGCCCCATGTCAACCTCCAGTAGTCACTGGGGATGAAGCTAGATCTGTATCATGACCTTCCTTCCCTCAGAGAGTGACAGGAAGTGCCACATGACACTTAGGGGACCAATGCTGACTTGATCCCAAGACTCCAACGGACCATGAAATGACCATCACACACCTCCTGCCTTGTGACACAACCCCCAAATGACAGATTCTGGTGGAGTCTTCCGGGGCACTGGGTTTTCTATCCACAAAGCACAGCCCCAAGAAGAGACCTTTCGGGCCTCCCTGGTGGCGCAGCGGTTGAGCGCTGAGTTGCAAAGCTGCCTGCAGCCTCTGCAGCGCTGGTTTGATCCCCGGCTGCTCCCTGGTTGCTCTCTGGCTGCTCCCCGGCCACCGGGCGAGGGTCCCAAAAGGCACTCAGACCTCTCCTGCCACCCGCTGCTCCCCTGAGCAGTGTACTTCGTCACTCTCTCTGTTCTACTCTCCGCTCTGGCTCTGGTGAAATCTCTCACCCTCCAGCACCTCTGACTGTACCCAGTGCTTGTATAAATAAATAAAAATCTTTAAAAAATAATAAAAGAGACCTTTCACTTTTGCCACTTTCATCTAAACACTGGCACCTCTGCCTGCATCATTTGTTTTTCATTGTCTATAGAACATTTATCAAGTGCCTGCCATAAGCTAAGAGCTACAGTATTCACTGGAGATTTAAAAATAAACATACAAAAAAACCCAAAAAACCCCTCTCATGAAGCTCACCGTTTGGTGGCAGAGATAGGCAAACACACCTTGGTGTGCGATGACCTCAACATCCACCATGGACATGGGTGGCAGGCTGGCACCGCTGCCCAGAGAACCATGCAGGCTCAGTCTGTTGCCACAAGGCACTACAGAAACCCTGCTTCACTGTAGATTAACCTAAACCAACTTAGTAATGACTTTTCCCGCCACCCTCCTGCTGAGAATTTTTCCCTACATTTAACAAAAATCTGGCTCCTTCTAAGTTCCTTGTCCTCAGACCTGTTAAGTGGTGCTCAGAATCTCCCTTACTGCATCATTGGTCAAGTTTATGCATAATTTCCTAGCCCAGCCCCAGCTTTCCCTTACACAGTGTTCCCATAACCCCTGTTGGCTATAAAGCATGTTCTCCCCGTGTCCTGCCATCCCCCTCAGAGGAATACCCATTTCAACGTGTGCCCAGCCTGGATGTCATTTCTTACTAATTATTCCAGGATGCCACTTTGACTGATATTGGATAAAATTTTTCTACTACTGCTTGAAAAAAAAAAAAAATAGAAGGAGCAACTCAGCAGAAACTCACTGTGTCTACACCATTGCCAATAAAGCAGTTTGCCTGAAATTATGAAATGAGATGATATGAAATGAATCAAAGTCAAATGTGCATGCATGGATGACCATTATGCCTCAAAATAGCAAAACCACATTCCTCTTGTTATACCAGATGATACAAACCTTCACACCCTCTGCTGTGGCTCTAGACATCTTTTCTGAGTCTTTGCATTATGGTTCAGAGACCTGGGACCCAATAAATATATTCAGCTCTATCTAGAAGAGTTTTGTAATTCTTCTACCTCTTATCTCTGTCACTTTCCCAAACTATTTCTAAATTCCATTATTCTTGGAAACCTCATCATTTCCTGGCTAATCAGGAACCCCCCACAGCTTTCCAAATAGGGAGGAAAGCTGTCTTCCCCACTCCCGTGTTCACCAATGCAAAAAGCAAACTAATCAGGAAAAGTGGCCAGTCCAAAGTCAAAGGAAAATGCCTGGCTGCTTCCCCAAACCTGTGTGTAAACAGAGGGCTGTACTGTACGGGACATCCCACAAGGGGTCACAGAGAGCTCACCCTTGCACCAGTTAAGAAGCCCAGGCAGGTGGGTGACCTGATGTCCAGGACTGAGGGACAAGAAGAAGAGAGGAGTGGCAAATTTCTCTGCACAACTTTTCCAGGCATAAGCAATGCTCTGATTTGGGAAAAAAATCATTAATATTCAGAAAGAACTAGTCTGTCTTCGATGGTTTGAGGAAATTGTGAGCTCAATCTGAGCCAGTTCATCACCCTCAGAGCTTTCACTTTGCTTGTGTTGATATAACCTTATAGATGAGTTGTCAAAATTCTTTAAAAAGGAGAAATAAAATTTGATTTCTCAAGACTAGAAAATTGATAGCATTTTCAGTAAAAGTGTATGTCAAAAATCCCCAATGTCAAAAAAACATTCCCAAATTTCAAAAAACATCCCCAAATGTCAAAAAACAGGCACTAATTAGAAAAATAGACATTCATTTCTCTCTTAATCAGCACTCTTCATTTTAAATTTGCTGGCCACAAGTGGTTATTAGGATGGCAATAATCTAATAGAATACTGAAATTAAAGCAATGCCCTGGTATTGTTTATGAGGCTGACCGAAGCAGTTAATTTTTTAATTGAACACAGGCTGTCTCTACTTTTCCCTGCCTCAGACTGTACTGATCTATTTAGCTGATGATGTCTTTAAAAAATTAGCACAATTCCACCTTTTATTGGCATAGTTCAGATTGTTAGATTCCCAACGGGCTCTGCTATGAAATCAGCCTTTCCATCTTGTCATGCAGGATCCCCATCTGGTGGTAGAGGAGGTAACTGCAGTGCTACTGGGTAAAATTTTGTCTCCTGCTGGTTTATTTTGCCCTTATCCATTACTTACCTAAATTTATCAGACACTAAATATATCACCGTTCTCTCTTTTAATGAAATTCAAGCCATGTTTCCATTGATATGAAACTAGTTTTCAGCTTGAATATTTTAAATAAAGCTGTTCATTCATCTGCTCATTAACTCTATACATTCTTTTGAAGTACCTACTATGTGCTAAGCACTGTGGCGGGCACTGGGACAGACACGGTTCCTGCCATCAAGGAACGGAGTACAATTAAGCAGGAAGACTGGTAAGTAATCACACACATCCAGTGAGTTTCAGGGGTGTCTGGCAGCCTACCCAGCACCTGGCTGGTCAACTGACTTGGAAGCACACAGTGGGGGCACTTAACGCAGGCTCAGTAGTGGAAGTGCAGGGTATAAAAAACACAGATCATACGTCAATATGTTAAACTAATGTGCTCATTTAGAGAAGAGTTTTGGAAGGACACACACACATTTCACATCCACAACGACACTACATTTAGCTGTACATTCCTGGAAATTTTAGACAACAGGACACTAATCTACAAAATGCCAAGGTGTGAGGTGTTTTAGGTAAAAGTTATTATATTTCAATTAATAGTCTCTTTGACATGCTTGGTTAAGAGTGCAAAGTCATATGCCGTTTTGGTTACAATGGGAAAGAAGAGATATACAAACCTTTCTTCTCTTGCTTGTCTTTGCTCCTCTCTTTTGTCTAAATACTCCCGGCTAATGGAAATATGCACAAGAAATGAATTAGGGAAGCAAAGTAACAGAATTAGATGATACAAAATTGCTAAGATATTATCTGCATATCATGAAATTCCACCATTGCTTTACAAATGGAAAGTGGCTGTAGTTGAATTTAAAAATTTGAAAGTTTGCACTATTGAAGTCCAAAATATAATGGATTTTCTATAAAAATCACAGGAATGTCTGAAACATAGAATTATTGGATTCACTAAGATCCACTAGTAATTACACTTCAAAAGAGGGTGTAAATAAGTGTATGAAGAGAGGAAGGAAAGTTTTCTTAAAAAGTGAAAAAAAAAAAGTAAATAAAACAGGACAATGGCAAACAAGGCATAGCATTCAGAGGTGATTAACAGCCCATTGAGCTCTGGTAGTCCCACAAATTCAACTCAAGAATGCAATCTTCATGGGCCTAAATTCCTCAGCCAGTTTGCACTATACCCTAAAGACAGACATTCCTCCCTCAGCCCAAGTTTCCTTTTTTGCATCCCTTACAATCTCAGTTCCCACGCAGGGATCACTGGAAGCTCTTGTGTTGTGATTCTCTTTTGTCTATATCCACAAGAAACCCAACTTTGTCCAATTTTAATGTTCTTTTGGTTTTCATAGGTGAAATTATTATATTTCAATCAACACAGTCTCTGCTAGATGCTTGGTTAAGAGTACAGAGTCACATACTGGTGGGATTCCAACTTGAATCTGAGCTTAGGGCTGGGTCATCAGTCACTTTTCAGGGGACCATTTATTTTTCTAGAGAATTCTGACATCATGGTTTCACACTGAGCTTAAGAGCTTAAGCTCTAGCCCTTGGTACTGACAACTGAACATGAAGGGGCAATAAGTAAGAGCAACTACATTGGGGTAGGAAGGTGGAGGGAAGTAACAGAGGCTCAAATTTGTTATCACTATAAACATCCATCTTCATCATCCATCTTGCACACCAGGAATAATATTTCCCATTATGCAGGAAGTTTAAGATTATATTCAACAAAGATAACTGTTGTCATTATAATCAATAGTTGTTTGTGGTCTATCCTAATGAGCAGCACTCTCTCCTAGATGTTTATTTTGCCACTCTCTCTGTGCCCTTAAAAAAGTGAGATCCATTTGGGATCAAAATCAGATAATAAATAGTTATGAGCACGATCTCTAAGAATTATAAGACTTGTACTCTTATTTATATTCTATGAAGAATCTTTTTAGTTTTTTTTTTGTTTTGTTTTGTTTTTAGCACGCAGTTAACTAGTTTAGGTTCAACCTGCAAGTTCTGACTACCTTCTGATATTGGTTTCAATATTGGTTTGGGTTGCAAATATTTTTAATTTGTATTTGTATCAAGCCCTAATGTATATCACTTAGTGGCCAGTTGGGGGCCCAAATGGTGGTTCACTCGACTTAGTTCACAGTCTGCTGTGTGCTGGTTAGGTTTTGAGCTGTACAAATCGAAGATGAGTTCAGGTGTGCTCTCTTGATTTCTCTACTCTTTGTGAAATTCCCATCATTGTTTGGCTTCCTTGGGCCTCTTTTCCTGGCCCTCTCCCAGAAATTTTGGTTTTCATTTCTCCTGCTCTGATGCATACTTTTGGTGACTCCATCTAGATCCAGGGCAACGCATTTGACGAACACAGAGGGGTAAAATGTTGATATGCCTACTACTTTAGGGGTCACAGCTCTTCTGGCCAGAGGAAGGGTTCTCTACCTCAGAGCTATAGGTGCCTGCCTGGATACCACTGCCATCATTCTATTTCTCTAACCACATTGCTTGGAGGCTGGGGTAGAAGAGAAGGAAAAACCAAGAAAACAGGCAAACTTTCCACTCTGGCCCTTAGGAATTTCTTTTGCTATTCCTCAGTTCAGAAAGAGATTTTTCCCTGAAACCTCTTTTAGTTCATACTTGGTATGTGCATCTGGCCTTTGGGGTAATTTTGAATACATGCCAGATGATACTGGAGGGTGAAATATGGTAAAGGCTCACTGGTTTTGTGGAACTTTGGATGCTAGTCTCCTTCCCAGTTTCCCTGATCCCATGCATTCTAACCATGGTTTATGGCTGCATTCAGTGATACGCTGGGAGAGACAGAAGGGCGTGTGCTGGCGCCATCTTCCTCAGAACTGGCACCCGGTTTTAAGAGGTTTTCAATCAAAATCATTAGATGTGTAAATTAATCTCTGAATTTTCCATTTGTTCAGTCCGAGTTTCTGCTGCTATTTGGCAGTAAAATAGACAAACCCCTCAGAAACTTCTGAATCAGAAAGCATTTAACAGGTTTCAGCGGTTTAACAAATTGGTCTTTCCAAAAGGGACAACTTCCAGAGCTACCTACCTCATGAGAAAAGGTGCACACAAGTGTGGCATTTCCATATATCATTTGCTACCACTCTGACAGCACAGGTGGTATTTCACATACTCATGGCAGGGGATGCTGCTGCTTACTGCATGCAGGTCAATAATCCATCTGACAAAAGCCAGAATTACCAGCTCACCCACACACTTGGGATATTTGTTTTCACATGGGATTAAGGTACAACTGAGAAGATTTCACAACTCTGCTCATATTTTGACCATTTCTATGATTACACATACTCTACCTGACTTCTGGAAGAAAAGTCACTGAACCTGTAAATCCTCACTGACAATGTTATATGTGCTTTGTAGGCTCAACTGGGATAATTGATAATATTGTTTGCCAAAGAAACTATCCTGTGGAACCAGAAAAAGGGGAGAGAAGTGAAAAGAAAGGTGTGGGGACTGGGAAGATGAAGAAAGCAAAGATGAGAAGGAGAAGGGAAGGCCAAAAGGGAAAGGGATGCAATAAAGAGGAGGGAAGAGTAGAAGGAATGAAATGTATAAGGGAGATCCTGCAAGTGTTCTGCATTCCATGAAGCACTGCACAGCATGAACCCCAAGAGAGCAGAGTGAAAGGAGGTAGAGAGAGAATGGGGAGCACAGAAGACCAGGCTGAAGGAGAAATAAAGGGATATTGGACTCAGAGGGGGGTGGACGAGCCAAGTCCTGGCAATGGAGCGAGTCATATCCAGAAGCACATCCTTGTTGCTGGACAGAGACCAACAAGCTCAGAGGACAATGGGTACAGTGACCTTCCTCTCCAATAGGAGGAGAGATTACTGTTGAAAAAAGTATACTGAAAATTGCTACAGGGAGAAGAAGCCAACCAGAAAGTGGGAAAAGCACTTATTTTCAGGCATCCAATAGAATATGAATAAAACATGAGTGGCTCTAGGGGGAAGTGGCAAATTAAGTTAAGACAATTAAGTTCTCTGTCTTCAGGAAGGCCTGGATAAGACCATTTGAGATAATGGATGGCCCAGGAATGGAATATACAAGTCCTTAATTGTATTTGGCTGACTGGCTGTGCTTCCTGCCATATGGTTAGAGAAGAGGCCATAACACAGCAGATGTTGTCTATTTCAGGTGTGTCTTGCTCTTCTGGAAAATAGAGACTGAATCTGAAGCAAACATCACTTCCAAATCCTTTAACGCCAGCATTAGCCATATAAAAACTATGAAGTTATGTGCTTTAAACTTTAATTCATTATTTGAAAAAATTCTTAAAATTCTTCTTTTTTTACATTTATTTATTAGTATTATTTTTTAAATTTTATGTATTTTTTACATCATTTTTCATTTTTGCACAATGTATGCAATTTCATCTTGGGTATAGTCCCCATACAATTCCCACCCCACCTTGTTTTGATCCTACTCCCTCTTCCCCCCACTGTAGTGTGTCAAAACATTAATTCAAAAGGGCACCTGCACCCCTATGTTTATAGCAGCACTATTTACAATAGCTAAGCTATGGAAACAACCCAAATGCCCAAAAATAGGTGACTGGATCAAGAAGATGTGATACATATACACAATAGAATATTACTCAGCAATCAAAAAAGGTAAACTCATGCAATCTGCAGCAACATGGATGGAGCTGGAAGGGATCATGCTCAGCAAAATAAGCCAGAAAGAAAAAGAAAAATACCAATGGTCTCACTCATAGCAGGAATCTAGAAAACCTAAACAAGGGACGAGGAAAAAGACTAATTATAATAAAGTAAAAATCAATATCAACAAGCAATAAAAATTCCTCTTACTTGAATTTGTTTCTTTCTTCCCGCTCTATTCTCTGCAACCTCTCTTCCCTCTCCAGTCGCCGCCTCTCTCTCTCTGCTGCCAGAGATTCTTGGTGCTGCTTAAAGGACGACGTGAGGAGACCACTCAGTGATGACCTAAAGATACAATGAGTTAATAATGTTTTAGTGGTTTAGCTTATGATTAAAAGAACTGAAAGAAGAATCAGACCCTGGATAGAATTGAGTGCCTACTGGTACCCAGGTATTGCATGGAGATAATTTCTTTATCTCAGATCTTTTGTTTCAGGATCTTCCTCTGTAAGTGGAGATAAATAACCTCTTTCATGTGCTGAGAGGATAAAAATGTCGTAATGTATATAAAATATACATCATGTTTGGCATATAAGCAGTCATCAATGATGGCTTACTTTCTGGCATCCAATAGAATATGAATGAGTATTTCATATATGAATAAAACAATGAAGTATTTTATACTTGGTCAATGTTAAGACTTTGATGACCAGGAATCAACATTCACACTAAAACAGTTTTCTGTTTTCTATGTACTGAAGATACTTTACCATATACGAGTTTTTCAATATACCTCCTCAAAATAATTTTGTCATTTTACAACCACATTTTGGGAAGACAGATGAGAAGAAAATGACATAGTGATGGTCTAAAACCAGAATTTAGCAAATTTCACACTGTGACAAAGCACCCAGGAACACACTGCATGTTCAAAGGACAGTCCTTGACTCATTACTGTACAAACTGGACTGCCCCTGAGGATGGTATAATGGGGATGGCCAGCTAGGGGGAGCCTTCTGTGAGGGAGCAGGGATGCGGATCACAGGAAATTTCAGGAAGATGGGTGAAAGAAGGGAAGATTAAGGAACTTCAAGGAAAATAAAGAAGGCAGTTTTCTTGGAAGAGGAATCAGCTGGATCTCTAGGGAACAATAAAATCTGTTGTGAACATTTATTGGAAAAATACATTTCTAAAGCTAAGATATAAATATTTCTGAAATATGATCTGGTACTTGAATTCAGTGACAAGGTGCCTGCCTGGTGGGAAACACAAGTCTCTGAGTGTAGGAGAAAGATGTGACTCTCTTATTGCATACATTCTTCCCTGAGGCTTGTAGCTATTCTTGCCAGAAAAAGCAAGTCACCTCTGAAGTGGGGGAAGTGGAGGGAAGAAACCAACAATCCCAAAAGCTACTGAGAGTAACTAAATCATATATGCAAGGTCACTAGGGAAGCTACTAGCCCTAGACACTTAGGCATAGAAATAATTTTATTTATCGTTCACATAAACAAAGTTCAATATGACTCCTGACTTGTTTAAGCTACTTGTTTTCTGTTACATGCAGTCAAATCTAATCCACAATCAGAGCAGAGGGGTCTACAACATCCCTTTCAGTGATTCATATACACTGTTGTGGATATGACAGATTTAACTTGATTAAATAAGTTTCACACAACAAATGAGCATATACACCCTGGTGTTCCAAATTAAACACTATCAAAAACTATCAATTCTGTCATAAAGTTCATGAATGAATGCCAAAAAGGGTATCATATGCGTCTATCTATATGGAATCCTAATGCAAGAGGGATGCCAGTGGGGATGTGATTGCTTAATAAATGGTGTTGATAACTCTTATATATAAAACAAAATATAATTCTCCCTTCACACCAAACACATGCATCAAAAAAGTGAGAAAAGCAAAAAGTAAAGCTTTACAACTTTAGACATTAGGAAAGAATTCTTAGAGTAAAACCAAAAAGGGCAATCTGAAAGGAAAAACTTAATACATGTGCATATATTAGAATTTAAAAACAGTTTAAAAACTACAATAAATTAAGAATTAAGGAAGCCATAGTCTGGGGAAGCTAATTGTAACACATATAAACTACATAGGATTAGCATTCACAATACAAAGAGAATCCCTCTAAATCAGAATGAAAAAGACAACTATCCAGTGGGGAAATGAGCTAAGAATGATGGGTAAATTAAACTGTCAATAATATCTGAAGGACGCTCATCTTCACTAGAAAGCAGGGAAAGGAATTACAAGCTAAACCCATAGTGTGATATATTGTTCCACACCTCTCAGACTGACAAAAATTAATGTTTGGTGACACTAAGTATTGGCACAGAACAAGATGACAAGAATTGTCATAAATTGCCTTCAAGAGTCTACATTGAAATGATCATTTTGGAGAAGCACTTAATATATTTAAGATGTGCATATCCTACAACCAGCAATTCCCCCTGGAGGTTTATATGAGAGAGTAATTTGCATGCAAAATGATAGACATAAACAGGAATACTATGCTATGCTGCTGGGCACTGTTATTGGTCAATAATAAGGAACAAAATCAAATATCTGCAAATGGAAACCAAAAAAATAGCCAATTTTTACAAAAGAACACACTATAACTGTGAAAATGAGTAAATTAGAGTACAAGGAGTAACATGGGTCATTCTCAAATACAATATATTGACAGCAAAGACAGTTCTGAGACTAAACTACAAAGTTAAATCACACACAATATAAAAATACACTATTTAGGGATACATGTATATTTGGTAAAAATATAACAACATGGAAATGATAAACACTAATTTCAGGGTGGTAGTCATCTCTGGAAAAGAAGGAAAATAAAAGGAATAAGCACTTCAAGTTTATATATAATGTTCTTTATTCTTCATTGGTCTAAATATTTCTGTAATTACCTATAATCTTCTGTAAACCGGGAATGTATTTTCAAAAGTCATTTTATTTCTCTCAAAGGAATCAAAAGGTCTTTGGGTAGACAAATAACTCATCTTTAATATTAAATATCCTTGAAGCCCTGAGCTAGCTGAACATCAAAAACTATGTGCAGTTCCAGAATTAAAAAAAAAAATACAAATAAGCTACTCTATACAGGAGAATTATTTTCAGGACTGTTTTCTACCTATATAGTGAATTTGATTCTAGCCCAGCTCCCTATCTGCCCTGCATGTCTGTTTTCTTAAGCACTAGCACCTTCACTTTCTGTGTTCTTTTTGGGTGGGATGGGAGGTGCAAGCTTGCTGTCCATGTTCTTATTGAGGAGCAAAATAAGGACCTTGGGTGGGATCTCCCCTTTCACTTGTGACTTTAGTTGTTTCTTCTAGATAGTTGACCTTATTTCAGGAAAAACTTAATACACAAATTAATAATGGGTCATTCGTGACTATACTAATAAAGTCACAGTGGAACTTTGCTACATCCAATCCAATACCATCATTTCCTTGTTCAAAGTGAAGCTTTTAGAGTTTGTTGAAAACTTTAGAACTAGACTTGAGAAAGTTAAGTTTCTGGTGGGTGTTTCCTTCCTTCCTGGGCACCTCTAAGGAAGGGAAATGCAAATCATACTCCTCTGCATTTGGACTTTTGCAAGAGCAGAACTTCTCTGGGCTCTGAGCCAGAACACACCCATGGACACATGAGCAGCAACATCAACACGGTGTGCAAGCTTTTTCCTTAACAACTTCATGTCTGAAATTTCTTTCAGAACTGAAATGTGAGGTGCTAACTCAAAGCAATAAGGAATGGTTCCTCTTTATCTGAAATGAAGCAATTTCTTGGCTGTCCTACCCCAGACTCCTGTAGCAAGATGGGAGAATTAAAGGAGCCCCATGAGCTTATCTCTCTTGGATGCATTTAAGCTATTTTGGTCATACTGGAAACAAAGCGTGGTAAAGAAAGTGTTAGTAATTAGTAGGTCTCCTGCTATTTAAGTAAGCCAAACATGTCAGAGTATAAAGCCTGGCCTTAAAAATCCTATTTCTAGAAATGGATTCAACGTATAATACCAATGCTCAATGCTGGGATGCGTTCAAATCCTACATAGGGGATATCCCAAATCATTCTTTTGAAAAAATACAAATACACCACCAAAATTCAAGCTAACATGGCAAATTTGTCCCTTTTTAAAGGCATCTTTACCAGATCTTTACTTTTCATGTTAGGTAGTGCAGGAAAATACAGTGATTGGAGGTTGCTATGATGTTGAAGTTGGGACAATCTGTGGATGAACTACTGTGGAAAGGGATGAACACTTGGATGGAAGAGGTCTGAGTGTGGCCAGTCATTTAACCTCGCTAAGCCTCAGTTCACTTCTTCGTAAAATGGAGATAATTATATCCCTAACTCATGAAGTACTATGTGTTTAAATGAGAATGTAGACATGAGTTTGCTTAAAACAGCATCTGGGCCACAGTATGTAGTCACTTTATATTGGGAGTCATATCTATAGATGGAGGGAGTGCTGGCACTGCAGCTTCCAAGGTCAGGTCTGGAATACAACATTGGCAGTTCTCAGACAGAGGGTCTGGAGTGGGCTGAGGGCTTGAGCTGAGCCTTTCCGTCAAGTCCACCAGCTGGATCAGACATCAGGATGGCATGCCACCCTGGAATGCACCTGGAAAACTGAAGTCATCTAGTTTTACACCCAAAGCAGCTGCAAATGAGTAAGGCCAAGCAGAAATGCAGGTGGAGTGAAAGGATTTTGCAAGGGAGTGGATGATATACTCTGAGTGAGAGGAATTCAGTATTTAATTTTGACCGTACTATACTCCAGCCCCGTAATATCATATGGTTAAAGTCTTCCTTGCTGGAACAGGAACTCTATTTCACTGAAATATGATTGTTAATAACAGTTAACTTTCATGGAGATAATATGATATGTCAATTATTGTACCTTAAATGACTCAATTCTGTAAGGATTAAATCTCTTGTACAGTATCAAGTTTCATTTTCACCTTTACAGATTAGGTACCGTGAAGTGTCATTTAGGACACAGGAACTGAACTTTTAAATAGTTCTGTTAAGGACCTCCCCTGGTGGCGCAGACAGTTGAGCACTGCATTGTGAAGCTGTCCACAGCCTCTGCAGCGCTAGTTCGATCCCACTGGCCAGAGAGGGTCCCACATGGCACAGCAGACCTATCCTGTCTCTTCCACTGCTCCCCTTAGCAGTGTATTTCATCAGTCTGCCTGTTCTGTTCCCCACTCTGTCTCTGGTGAATCCTCTCATCCTCCCGTGCATCTGGCCTGCACCCCGGTTCTTGTATAAATTAATAAATAAATAAATCTTCAATAAATAAATAAATAAATAA